AACTCTGTATATCTGTATCTAATCTATATCTACGTCTAATCTCTTGACCCTTTGGGCTCTGTTCTCTGGAGAGCCCTGACTGCTCCACTCTGCTGCCTTCCTCACATTGTCTCCCTCCCTCACCCACTCCTCCATGCCTCTGTCTTTGCTGGGTCCCCGAAACACCAGGCTGACCCCTGCCCCTGGGCCTTGCGCTCGGCACTCCGCCTGCAGGAGCCCATCCCCCAGATACCTCCATGGCTGTCTCCCCACCTCCTTCAGATGAAGCCTGTACTTGATTGTCCTATTCAGAATTGCAGCCACCCCCCGCCACTTCCCCATTCTCTGTACCCTGCTCTGCTGTTTCCTCTTGTCCACAGCACGTCACCCTCTAACATACAGTGTCATTTATTAGTTAGTTTTGTATGTTGTTTATTTTGTGTCTCCACCACTAGGATGCAAGTCCCATGAGGGAAGCAGTTCCTGTCTATTTTCTCTGCTGATGTATCCCAGGTGCTTAGCACAGAGTAAGCACCCAAGGGTACATGTGGGACCAACAGTGACTAAGCAGTCTGGGGGGCAGTGAGGAGGGGCTAGCTGCATGTGAGATGGGGTCCTGGGACTGCTCAGCCGTGGGGCTGGGTTAATGAGTGGGGTCTGTGTGGGTAGCGATTGGTAGGACTGGGAGGACCAATGGTAGGCTTATGGGGCCAGCAATTTGGGCACCTCTGCAGGGTGCGTTAAGGAGACTCTGGCTTTCAGTGACTGTGGGAGAAATGAGTAACTTGCCCAAGGTCATTCATCCAGCAGAGCTGGAGTTGACCTCAAGAAGCCTTAACCATGACACAGTGCAAGGTCACGATGCGAAAGCTGACTTAAAGAAGTACACAGGGCATGGGCAAGACAGGGTCTATGTGCCCTGGAAGTTTTACCTGTCTGCAGACCAGAATGGGAAAATGATACTGCAGGTAAATTCAATATTTGAGAGCTCTGATCATACCTCATCTGGCAGACTGTATGAGTGACGAGTGCCTGGGGCCATGTTCCCCTAGACTAATGTACCCTTTCTGCTATTTCTGTTATGTGAGTCTGCAGGTAAATTTGAGAATAAATCACAGCCAGACGGAGGTGACAGGAGAGGGCTGGGACCCTAGCAATGGGGCCACAGCACCATGGTGCCATGGAACAGTGATTTTTTATATTACTGTGTAGGATGAATAAGAGGGAAAAGATACAAGAAGCAGAAAGACTAGTTAGTATTCTGAGTAATTGCCATAGGCTGAATATTTATGTTGCTCCAAAATTCATATGGTGAGATCCTAACCCCCAATGTATGGTATTTGGAGATGGGACCTGTGGGAGGTTATGAGAGTAGAGCCCTTGGGAATGGCACTAGAGCCCTTATAAAGAGACCCCAGGATGCCCTCACACCTCCCACCGGATGAGGACACAGCAAGGAAATGCTGTTTATGAACAAGGAGGCAGCCCTGGTGTCTTGCTCTTGGACTTCTCAGCCTCCAGAACTATGAGAAACGTCTGTTTTTAGAAGCCACTGAGTCTATGGTATTCTTTTCTAGCAGCCTAAAGAGAGTAAAACAGTAATCCACAAATGAAGTGATGAGGCTTAAAATTTTCAAATCCAGTCTTCTTTTCTTTTTTCTTTTTTTTTGGAGACAGAATTTCTCTCTGTTGCCCAGGCTGCAGTGCAATGGCACGATATCTTGACTCACTGAAACCTCTGTCTCCTGGGTTCAAGCAATTCTCCAGCCTCAGCTCCCCCAAGTAACTGGGATTACAGACATGTGCCACTATGCCCAGCTAATTTTGTGTTTTTAGTAGAGATGGTGTTTTGCCATGTTGGCCAGGCTGGTCTTGAACTCCTGGCCTCAAGTGATCCACTCACCTCAGCCTCCCAAAGTGCTGGGATTACAGGCATGAGCCACCGCACTCAGCCAAATCCAGTCCTTTTACTAATTTACTTCTCCACACCCTTGAATACCTTTTGGAATTCCATCCAACTGGTCAGTTTCTTCTTATCAGAGCTTTATTCCTTTTTGGTTCCTGTCCCTTACATTTCTTTAGCCTTTTCTCCACAGCGTGGAATGTCATTTTTGAAACCCCCCAAGCTACTTGTAATAACCATCAGTATTCCACTCTGGCTGTCCATACTACAGCAGTTTTTCTCTCCTCAAAGCCCAAGAGATGGAAAATATTTACAGTTTGGAATGTTTCATATTTAGAAACAAAGGTATCGATATAACAAAGAGTATTTGTGAAGCAGTTTCATTCTATAAAATGGTGGGAAGATTCACCTGGGATTGTGCATTTTATTCCATGTTTGAAGAAGTTTTATGAAACAGTATCTGTATAAAGAAGCAACTGAAGACCCAAGTCAGACTTCTGGGAAAAGTTAAATTTATTGAACATGAAGTAACGGAATAAAGTCAGTTACCTGGACTGTTTACAGTAAGCAATGAATGTAATAAATTAAGGGGAAATTTCTAAAGAGCAAAAAGGATAAGAAATGTGACAAAGCTATAATAAATGTGTCAGAAGATTCACACAAGTGAGAAAGCCTCAGAATACGGTTACTATACAGAAGCTCTTCTGTAGAAGTCTCAACACAGTGGACCACAGGTGAGACCTTATAAATAAGTGGGTAAAGCTTACATCAAAACGTAATCTTACTCTGCTTTAGAACTCTCATCTCAGAGAGGAGCACTGCAATTTTAATTGTGTAAACATGGAATAAGCCTCCAACCCAGAACTCCATTTTCACTGGAACATGTAATTCATACTGGGAGAAATAATTTCAGGGCAACAAATGGGACAAAACCTTAGGTACAGGTCACCTCTCACTCGACAGAAGAGAAACCACACTGGGAGAATGCCTTATAAATTCCACACATAGAAGAAAACTCATAAAACTTTATTCAGGGGTCCAAATAAATTGATTAGACCTCAAAGAATTCAAACCCATGCAAAAAAAAAAAAAAAACAGGAATATCTTTAGGGAGGTGTCAGCCTCCACTGAACACCATAGAAACGATCAAAGGGACTAGGTGCGATGGCTCATGTTTGTAATCCCAGCACTCTGGGAAGTGGAGGCAGGAGGATCGCTTGAGCTCAGAAGTTCGAGATCAGCCTGGGCAACATAGTGAGACCTCGTCTCTACACAAAATAAAAATTAGCTGGTTATGGTGGTGTGCACCAGCTACTCAGGAGGCTGAGGCGGGAGGATCGCTCGAGCCCAGGTCGAGACTACAGTGACCGAGGATTGTGCCACTGCACTCCAGCCTAACAAACTGAGCGAGACCCTATCTCGAAAAAATAAAATAATAAAAGAAATGATCACAGGCAGAAACCGTGTGTACACACGGAGTGTGGAAAAGCCCTCTTGTGGAAGTCAGTTATTTGTATACCTCAGAAAATTCGGGAAGGAGAGAAACCTTGTGAATGTACTAAATCTGATAGCATCTTCAGTGACAGAGGATGCCCCACTGTACACAGAATGGCTCATGCCGTGGAGATAACCTGCAAGGAGACCGAATGTGAGAAAGCCCACGGGAGGGGGAGAGGCCTCGAGGTGCATCCGAGTTCCTAGAGAGGCCGCAGGCTGAACATGGCAGAGCGTGAAAGTCTTCTGCGGGAAGCCAGGACTCTACGCCAGACCCTCACACCGGGGAGAAATCCTCAACGCAATCAGTGCGGAAGTGCCTTTGCTAATAACTGCTTCTAATTCTGAATCATAGAGTTCAGAGTGGAGAAAACCACACGAATGTAAAACAGTGTCTAAAAGTTTCCAACTAGAAGTCAAAACTCATTGCACACCAAGGAATTCATAGTGGGAGAAACACTGAGGAAACAGCAAATGCAGGCAAGCTTTCCCTTGGAGATCAGAGCTCACTGACTCTCAGAGTTCACATAGGGGAAGAACCCTACACAGTCGTGAGTGTGGAACCGCCTTTGGCAAGAAAACATGCCCCGTTACCCAGGAGAGAGACCCTGCGGAATAAATACACTCTGGAAATCTTTCAGCAACAAATGAAGCGTCCTAGTTCGCACTACGGAGAAGCCCTAGGAACACAACAGATGTGGAGAAGGAGAGTCAGCAGTGCAACAAAAATGTTTGTCAGAGGAGAAGCTTTTAAGTTAATTACCTAAAAACTGCAGAAACACCTAGTCCCAAGGTCAAAACCAGCTACGCACCAGAGAAGCTGCATGGGAAAGTTTGTATGTGGGATAAAGTGTGGTTCACCCTCAAAACTAGCTCCAGACATCACATACTAGAGAATATATATTGATCTTAAACAGTGGTCAATTTAACAAATTTAAATTCTACTCCCAGGGACACAAAATTCCGTAACTTAAACCAAGCTTTTTGTAAAAACTATCGATGAAAAACAAACGTGCGTGCATCTGCAGCCCAAGCCTCTTCCTCCCCAGGGCCGGTGCTCAACTTGCAAATGGGTCTTCCCAGTACATACGGGGAATGAACAGTTTCCATCCCCGTCCTGAGCCATCCACCTGGGATTCACCCTCACCACGGACATGGCTGTCTGTCACTGTTCCCAACCTGGAGCTCCTAAACCCATCCCCGACCCGAACACAGCACAAATGCAACCCTGCTCCTCGTTCTCACATCACTCATACTACACACATGTATCACATCACTCATGCTACACACATGTATCACATCACTCATGCTACGCACATGTATCACATCACTCATACTACACACAAGTATCTGAATTTCTGAAGGTTTGCAGGGGTGGGTTTGGTCTTTTTTTTTTTTTTTTTGAGACAGTCTCACTCTGTCGCCCAGGCTGGAGCACAGTAGTACAGTCTCAGCTCACTGCAACCTCCACCTCCCAGGTTCAAGTGTTTCTCCTGCCTCAGCCTCCTGAGCAGCTAGGATTACAGGCACCCACCATCACGCCTGGCTAATTTTTGTATTTTTAGTAAAGACGGGGTTTCACCCTGTTGGCCAGGCTGGTCTCGAACTGCTGACCTCAGATGATCCACCTGCCTTGGCCTCCCCAAGTGCTGGGATTACAGGTGTGCGCCACCACGCCCAGCCAAGGTTTGGGGGTGATTTAAGGGAGTACACACAGGGGAGGAAAACAGCTATACTCTAAGTCTGACCTTGCCCAGTCCCGGGGGGATGGCAGGAAAGTCCATGGCATTGGAAATCTCATGGGGGTGTACCCCAATTCCTCAGCTCACGCCCTCGCCCCTGCAGGCCCTTCCCATGCGCACAGGGGTCTCACCCAGGGTCTCTCCCTCCATGCCAGAGGAATCCTACCCAGGCCTGCGTGCCTCCGTCCAGATGCACAGCCCCAGGTCTCCTCTTGCTGAGACAGCTCCTCCTCCACTCCAACCCCACGTTTCATTCTGGGGTCTACACGTTCTTCCACACTGCCCAGTCCCCAGGTTATGGGGTTTGACCGAGGGGAGGAAATCCTCAATCCAGGCAAAGCCCGGGGCTTCATCATCATCTTTGGACTTCGGATGAGAGAAGAAGTTTAGTTCCTCTCTAGAGCTAGAACCTTCTCGGTGGCTGTTTCCCACCATGGCTAGCGAGTCTGGTCTGTGGTGAGGAAGCATGAAGCTCACATGCTGGAATCAGGGCAGAGCTGGGTCCAGTTCCTTCTCAAGGCCAGCCCCGCCGATGCAGCGCGTGGTCTTCGCACACTCCCTGCCTCTGACTGTTCACCGTGGACCTGGGCTCGGTATAGCTTCCACCGTCAGGCAAGAGGAAGAAAGGAGAGGCAGCGAGCAGTCCCGTTCCCGCCTGCCCTGCTACTTGTGGTCCTCTGCATCCTCGCCCTTGGGTGGGGCTGCCACCGTGGAGGTGGCCTTGAGGCTCCGCTTTCGCTTCTGCACATTCTGTTCCGGGTGGAACAGGATGACGTAGGTTTTGGGTACGTAGAGCATGCCGAGGGACACCGACGCACTCAGGCTCAAGGACACGGTTAGTGTGGTTGTCTGAATGTAGATCTAGGCCATGGAAGAGGGGGCGAGATGGGACTCAGCCCTGCTCTCCCTGCCCCGCCCCACACAGTCCTCACCACACAGACTGGAGCTGAGTCTGTTTCAGTCGGGGAACTGGGAATGAGCACTTAGACCAGGACAACAGTATGAGCAGAGGCCCCGGCGCCTGAGGCGCTGGCAACCTCCGTGCAGCGCTGGTGTGGGCAGGAGGGAGGGGTGAGGAGGGGTTATTAACAGAGAGAGACACCTGGGGAAGTGGGAGCCAGAGCTTGTTTCAAATTCATACAAATGAATAAATGGGCAGAGAGTGAATTGAGAAGCAGATGGGCACATAAATGAATGACAGGTGCATAAAATGTTCTGCTGTGTATGTGAATAAATGATGCAGCAATGGGCTGACACATTAATGGGTTGGCAGTTATAAAGCATATGAAAGCTGGGTGCAGTGGCTCACACCTGTAATCCCAGCACTTTGGGAGGCCGAGGCAGATGTGTCACCTGAGGTCAGGAGTTTGAGACCAACCTGACCAACATGGTGAAACGCTGTCTCTATTAAAAATACAAAAATTGCCCAGGCGTGGTGGCGGGTGCCTGTAGTCCCAGCTACTCAGGAGGCTGAGGCAGGAGAATCACTTGCACCCGGGAGGCAGAGGTTGCAGTGAGCTGAGATCACACCACTGCACTCCAGTCTGGGTAACAGAGTGAGACTCTGTCTCAAAAAAAAAAAAAGGCATATTGAAGAACTTGAATTTAAAAAAAAAAACAAGCTAACTCGGTGACAGAGGCAACATCTCTCAAAGAAATGAAAATGATAAAAAAAAAAAAAAAAGAAGAAGAGTGGAAGTTAAGAAGAGGGCTTAGAAGCTTGGATAAGTGAATGAATGAACAAAGTAAGAAGGGAATGAGTGAATGAACAAGCAGCCGGATACGGGATAAACAAAAGCGCGAACAAGCATTTAAGCTCGTGAATGAATCAACCGGCAGGACAGGCAGGAAACAGGCAGTGTGACCTCCTGGGGACCTCATTACCTTTTCAGCTGACTGGGCAGTGCCAAAGAAGATAGGCACGAATGCCAGCCAGATGATGCAGGTGGTGTACATGGTGAAGCCGATGGGCTTGGCCTCGTTGAAGGTCTCGGGCACGCCGCGGGCCTTGATGGCGTACACTGTGCACGTGACCATGAGCAGGAGGCTGTAGCCCAGGCAGCCGATGAGAGACAGATCCGACATGTCACACTTGAGCACCCCTCTGGCCTGCTCCGGGTCCACCGTGCGCTGCTCCTCATAGTCAATCACGCTGTGTGGCGGCCGGGCCCCCAGCCATGCTATCACCCCCACCACCTGCAGGAGCCAACACTGCATCAGACACAGCACCTTCCATTGCAGCCCTGATGGAGGCCCCTGCAGGTCGGGATGCCCCTGAGGCTCTGCCTATGGAGTGGGGTGTCCCCCTCTTCGTGGTGCCTCTCAGGAGCACTCAGTGGAGAAGAGGGCACGGCAGCCCAGGAAGGGACAGCCCAAGAGGGGCCCATCCACCCAGCCAAAGGCCCGTGACCTGGCAGCCGTGGAGAAGGGCTGTGCTGGCCATATATGTTGGCAACATCAGCGCAGTGTGCATAAGAGGCAGCTTGGTGTCCTCTTCCTGCATTCTAGCCATTACCAATGCCATTTACTGTGCCCCTTCAAGGTAGACGGCTGAGGCCGGAAGCCCTGGAACTGAGGCCGGACTTGCACCGCCCCTCTAGCCTCCTCACATGTAGTGAGCTTCAAAATAAGGGCACGTCACAGGCAAGAGAAGCAAAGGAGCACTCGGTGGGGAGGAGCAGGAATGGGAGCTGATGCTGAGGAGGACTGGAGTCTGTGCAGGCCCTCACAGGGAGAAGGTGGAGTTACCATTCCCTCACATGACAGGAAACACAACCTCGAGCCAAGGAAAGCTGGGAACAGGAACAAAGCCACTTGCATAAAGGCAGGACCCTGGAAGGGCTGCCCTGCACATTTGTGCAGGTTGTTCACTGCACAAGAGCGCCTGATTGGGGGCGGGGATCTGGAATCCAGCCTGCACGCCAGTGCTGTGCCGAGCACCTGGAGCGCGGCCATGCGAGCGTGCCGGAAGGGATGCTTTGCAGTCATCTGCCAACCCAGAAGAAGCAGCTTTTTGTGCTTCTCCCAAAGGCAGCAGACTCCTGAACAAAGGACCTTCCAAAACAAGTTTGGAATTTCCTACTAGAACAAGGCTCCAGGTAGGAAAAAAAAAAAAAAAAAGTTGCTTATGAGAAACAAAAACGCAAGTCCAGGGACGCACAGCGGTAACAAGCAAAACGGCCCACAGATGCCGCAGCCCGTGGAGCTGAGAGCGAGCCAGCACGCCTCACTCGGAATGAACTCCTGCAAAATAACAGCAAATGAGCAGAGGACAGGAACAGGCTGAGCCCCGGAGAGGAAAGCCCCATGCCCGGTGCACTCGTACTAAGTGCAGGCAAATTAAAACCACAATGAGATGTCACTTCACATCCCGTCATGAGGTGGTAGTCATGGCAAAAACACCCAGTGCAGTTGCAGGCTTGTGTTTTTTAAAACATCCCTTGTATCTGGAAAGTGGGGCGGGCAATGACTGAGGCTGGGGAGGAGAGCTGGGGGTCCCCAGTGGGGTCTGAGCATCTCCACCTGGGGGTGGGGGAGCACGGAGCACCTCAGGCCGGGATGTAGAGGGCACCTGCTCAGGATGTGCGGCACACGGAGACCCTGGGCCTGACCGGGGGACACTCAGGCCCTGTTATCTGGAAGAAGATGGGAGTACCTCCTAGTCACGGAGAACTGCATGACCTGAGGCATGTGGTGTGTGTGGAACCAACAGAGAAGGGGCTCACTGGGAGTGCACAGTGCTGTGTCCAAATGGGTGAGCAGGTGTTTGCACTGAGGCCGTCCTCCACCTGGCCCTGAAACCCAGCTGGCCCTGCAGTGTCACACCAGGTCACCCTCCCCAAGCCATCTGTCTCCCGTACCCTTTGCATAGAAAACATCCAGGGCGTTCCAGACTCCAAGAGTTGTCTCCAAGCTGTACTAACTTTACCGTCTTAGGAAAATCCCCCAAAGGAGCTGCATTTTTTAATGCACAACACTGCACGAAACACTGGCCACTGGGTGGGATTCGATCTCCACTCCACAGTAAAATGTTGGACCCTATGCCTCTTATCCACACTGCCCCAGTGAACAGGACAGCAGAGACTCCCTTGTGCAAACAGGAAAACCAGTCAGATAGCTCTTCGTCCTATTTCCATATGTGAGCCAAATTGTGGAAGAGCATGTTTGGTTTATGAAAATAACTTCACTGTTGCACAGAAAGGTCTCTGGAGGCCCACACTCCCCACCTTACTGCCCTGTTCTCCTTCAGGCACCCAGCAGGGGAGCTGGCGGCCCTAACAGAGCTGCTGTCACAGGACGGGTGGAGCTCCATTTCCTGTGGCCTTAAAAAAAAAAAAAAATGGCCGGGCGCGGTGGCTCACGCCTGTAATCCTAGCACTTTGGGAGGCTGAGGCGGGTGGGTCACGAGGTCAGGAGATCAAGACCATCCTGGCTAACACGGTGAAATCCCATCTCTACTAAAAAGACAAAAAATTAGCCGGGCGAGGTGGCAGGCGCCTGTAGTCCCAGCTACTCGGGAGGATGAGGCAGGAGAATGGCGTGAACCCGGGAGGCGGAGCTTGTAGTGAGCAGAGATAGAGCCACTGCACTCCAGCCTGGGCAACAAAGTGAGACGCTGTCTCAAAAAAAAAAAAAAAAAGAAAGAAAGAAAGAAAAAAAAAGCCCCACAGGAACTAAAATAGAAAAGAGTAGCTCTAAAAACAGCATTTCTCTTTTTGTTTTGAGACAGGGTCTCACTCTGACACCCAAGCTGGACTGCAGTGGTGCAATCTCAGCTCACAGCAACCTTCAACTCTCCGGCTAAAGCGATCCTCCTATCTCAGCCTCCCAAGTAGTTAGGACTACAGGCATGCACCACCACGCCCGGCTAATTTTCATATTTTTTTGCAGAGACAGGATCATGCCATGTTGCCCAGGCTGGTCTCAAACTCCTGGACTCAGGTGATCCACCCACCTCGGCCTCCCAAATTGCGGGGATTACAGGCGTGTGCCACTGTGCCTGGCCTTTTCTGCTTTGTTAATTTGTGGACAGTCCCCCCCATGCCCTGGCCCTTGGGAGCCTACGGACCCACCTGCAGGGAGGTGAGGCTGAAGGTGATGGCCAGCTGTGAGGTGGGGCTGATGAAGGGAGGGGGTGTGACCGAGCGCTTGCCCTGCTCAAAGATGCGGTAGATACGGTTGGTCTTGGTGAGCAGGGCAGAGTAGCTGAGGGTCGTGCCTAGGCCCAGGAAGAGCCTGCGGGTGGCACAGACCACGGCCCCAGGCTCAGCCACCATGAGGAAGGTGATGGCGTAGATGAGGAAGATGCCGGTGAGGAGGACGTAGCTGAGCTCTCGGCCCGAGGCCCGGACAATGGGCGTGTTGTTGTGTCGCATGAAGGTGGCCACCACTGTGGTAGTGGCCATGATGCCCAGCACGGCCAGGAGGAGCGGCAGGGCTGCCCAGGGGGAGGACCAGCTCAGGCGCACCACAGGCGTGGGGCGGCAGCCGGTGTGGTTGGGCGTGGGCCTCATGTCCCCAGGACAGGCCTCGCACGTGAACTCGTCCACCTGGAAGCGGTACCCGTCACAGGCCTCGCAGTGCCAACAGCAGGGGACGCCCTTCACCATCTTCTTCCGCTCCCCTGGCCCACAGGGGAGGCTGCACAGAGACGAGGGCACCTCGTGGGGGTCGCCAGACCACTGCAGGGCCTCCACCTGGGACGCACAAAACACAGGCTGGGGGCCTCTGCCTCCGGGATCCTGGGCCCATGCCCACCCGGGGCTTGGTCTGCACACTCACATCCAGTCTGAGGGTCTCTGCCCACTGGCCCACCGCCTGGTACCCGCCACTGCTGGCACTGCCGTTGGTGGCCTGGTACTGGAAGATGTCGTACCGCCCCGGCGCATCTCCGTTTTCGTTGAACATCACGGGGGTTCCTGCGCTGCCTGGGGAGAGAGCCCGTCATCCTTGCTGGTCCTCCAGCCCAGCAGAACTGTCTCCCGGGGAGCCCCAGGGACCAGCAGGAGAAAGGAGGCGCTTAACAAGCATCACTGCTCATGAGGGACGTGCAAATCCAAGCCGCAGGGAAATCCCCCTTCACCCATTGGGATGGCTTCTATCCAAGAACCAGAAAATCACAAGTGTGTTGCGCGTGCGGAGAGGTCGGAACCCTTGTGCACGGTGGATGGGAAAAGGCTACAGCCGCTGCAGAAAACAGTGTGGAGGCTCCTCAAAAAATTAAACACACGACCCAGCAATTCCACTCCTGGGTAGATACCCAAAAGACTAGAAAGCAGGGCGGCAAAGAAATACTTGTACAGCCGTGTTCACAGCAGCATTATTCGCATAGCCACAAGATGAGAGCAACCCGAGGGTCCACTGACAGAGAACGGATGAGCATGATGGGGCCATTCCTACGATGGGATGCGATTCAGCCTTCAAGAGGAAGGCAGTTCTGACCCATGCTATAAAATAGATGGACCTTGAGAACATGATGCTCAGTGAAACAAGCCAGTCACACATGGGCAAACACTGTCTGATTCCACCGCAGGAGGTACCGAGGACAGACAATTCGTAGAGGAGCAGTGGAACGGTGGTTGCAGGTGCTGGCGGGAGGAGGGCATGGGGAAGTGTTTAATGTGTACAGAGTTATGGTTTCATAGATGAAGAGTTCTGGGGATAGATGGTGGTGATGGTTGCATAACATTGTGAATTTATTTTTATTTATTTATTTATTTTTTTGAGACAGTCTCATTCTGTTGCCCAGGCTGGAGTGCAGTGGCACAATCCCAGCTCACTGCAACCTCTGCCTCCCGGGTTCAAGCGATTCTCCTGTCTCAGCCTCCCCGGCAGCGTGGATTACGGGCACTCGCCACTATGCCTAGCTAATTTTTGTATTTTTAATAGAGACGGGGTTTCACCACATTGGCCAGGCTGGTCTCAAACTCCTGACCTCAAGTGATCCACCTGCCTCGGCCTCCCAAAGTGCTGGGATTACTGGAGTGAGCCACCGCACCCAGCCTGAATGTATTTAATATCACTGAACTCTACACTTAAACATGGTTAAGGTGATACGTTTTATATTATGTGCATTTTATCACAATTAAAAATGAAAAAGGTTTCACGGTCCAGGCTAGGGGATGAGTTCCGACATGGAGAGAGGTCTGAGTGACAGTATGAAATTGGAATGACTTGAACAATGAGCTCTATTTTTCTTACGAGCTTGCTCCACCTGCCTGCAGAGCTGCGCTGGGGTCATGTTAAGTTGACTTGATTAGCAGAGAGCACGGGGGAGAGAAGGTGGTGAGTGAGTGCTTAGTGAAGAGTGGAGTTTAGAACTGTGTAAAGGATAGTGACACAGCTTGAGTCCACTGGGGTCTTCTCAAAAGACACAATTTTGAGCCCTGACCACACACCAAGCCTGGGGCCAAGGCACAGGTCAGACCCACGCCTGTGCCTAGTGCATGACTGAGGGGGTGGCATGTCCCTGCGTAAATGCCCCATGTGCGCCCCCAGGATCCAGACACCCTCAAGCTCTGCGCAGTGGAGGGGAGTGTGTTGTGACCCACTGAGGGTTCCTGGCAGAAGGGATCAGAGAAGCTCCCCAGCATCTCAACGGTGCAAACCAGCGCAGGGAACATTGAAGCCTGGGGAGGGAGCAGCGTTAAAACGTGGGGACCGGAACTTGTCTCACGTCTTTGGCACTCAGCCCCAGGTGCCCCCATTAGACCACTCAGCCTCTCCCAGCCCTTCTACCCTGAGGTCATCCCAGGCCTCACAGACAAATCCAGCCCCCAAGCTGCCCTTCCCTGCTGCAGGGGTGCAGGCACCCACTCACCATTGAAGCGGACAGCTCGAATATACTGCAGGAGCGTCCGCCCATCGGTGGGTTCCATCGCCGGGCACAGGCCTGTGTGCCCAGGGCAGAGCGCCTGGTGCATGCTGTGGAGGGCATGGGCAATGGCGTACACTGCATCAATCACGAACTGCACCTTGCCCTCCTGCTCGTAGGTGGAGTCCCGGCCGATGCGTTCCTCGCCTGTCCTAGGGATGCCCAGAGAAAGTGTGCCCGGCCGCCATGCACCCAGCCTGGCCTCCCAGCTTCCCCCTCCCCAGCCTCCCCACCCTGCGCAGCTCTCACCTGTGCATTTGCGGGTGGAATCATCTGACTGGGTACCTGAGCGGGTCAGTTTGCAGTTAAAATTCTCCTCCCAGAACTCGGCAAACCAGATGTTCCTGCGGTTGTTCTCCAGGGATCGAGTCATGAAGTACTGGTCAAATCCTACAGCGACGGAAGGAGGGGGAGGGAGGCGCTGACCTGAGCCAGCTGTGTTTCTCCTGTGTCTCTCTGCCACTTGCTCACTTTTCAGCTAGGAGTGGCCAGGTGACCAAGTTCTGATTGGTGGACTCAGAGCCAACTGGGGGTTCCAGGGCAGCCTTTACATGCTGATGTAAACGCAGAGCCTCACCATTTGAAAGACTTTTATCCCTGCTCCTTCTTTTGGTGGAATAAAAGAATGGACAGAGCCCAGGGCTTTGAGAGCATCATTCACTCACTGCCCCACACCTAAAGTCGCCACCTCTCAGACCCTGTGTCTTGTGAGGAGATGCCTTCATCGCTAAAACCACTCTCAGTCCAGGCTGCCACCTGCGCCCAAATGCATCGTAGCTGAAATAAAAGGTGTGCCGGTGTATATCCCCCCTAAGACTGGGAGGCCCCAGCAGCCAGGGCTCAGCCTTTCCAGGGTCTGTATTTCAAAAAATAGCCCTGAAGTATGTCACCAAGGCGTCCTCAGTCCGGCCTTGGGGAAAATGAGCAATCCTATTGTACAGTGAACCATCTGTTCCTGCTGGATTCATCCAGATCCACAGGTGGGACTGGGGGTGCAAGGGCCTCATCACTTTGATCAACAGGATGGTATATCCCATATCCTTGGTTTCTCTCCCTCCCACCCTCACCCTCAGATTAGAGTGTCTTTGGCAGCACTAGAAACACAGGCACTAAATTAGAAAACAAAACTGGCCGGGCGTGGTGGCTCACGCCTATAATCCCAGCACTTTGGGAGGCCGAGGTGGGCAGATCATGAGGTCAGGAGATCGAGACCATCCTGGCTAACACAGTGAAACCCCATCTCTACTAAAAATACAAAAAACTAGCCAGGCGAGGCGGCGGGCGCCTGTAGTCCCAGCTACTAGGAGGCTGGGGCAGGAGAATGGCGTAAACTCAGGAGGTGGAGCTTGCAGTGAGCTGAGATCGGGTCACTGCACTCCAGCGCGGGTGACAGAGCGAGACTCCGTCTCATTAAAAAAACAAAAACAAACAAACAAACAAACAAAAAACCAACAGTTTCTCCCCATCCGGTGAGTGGAGTGTCCTTTTCCTCGCACGCCATCCCAGTCGAGCACTGCTCGGAGGGACGCGTCCACAGATTATCAGAATCATAGGATCCGGGGAGCTGAGAAGGGATCTGGATTATGGCACCAATTACACATAGACGCAGAAAATGATCGTCCCCTAGAGGGGATGCTGGGGAGACGCTGGGGTGGGGGCTGCAGCGCCCCTGGACTCACCGTCGATGGAGGCCCTTTTGGGCAGGATGGTGATGGCCCCGACGGCCACGTCCTCCAGGCTCAAAATGGGCGAGGTCTTGGCCCCCCAGCTGTCGGAACCGACCCACAGGAAGTGGCCGGTCAGGTTGGCCTGGCGAGCGGCCTCCAGGACCCGCCTGGGAGGAGCAGGGCTGGGGTGAGGGAGGGCCCGGGAGCCTCCTCCAGCTTGGCCCATATTCCTTCCCACTCTGTCCATCTCCCCTGCTCTGCAATCACTCACCAGATCCTTGTTGCTCAGGAAAAACGGGGCTTGGGGCATTTGGGGCACTTTCCCTGGGCTCTCCTCTGACCCTAGGCCTGCCCACCTGCTCTGCCCACTGTAACCCACTGTACAGGGGGCTCAGAGGGGCTCCTTGGGGGAAAATCCAGTTCGAAGCCACCCCCTCCCCACATGCCTGCACCAGCGTCACGCCCAGCCTCCCAGGCTGGAGATGAACTCGGGCTGCGGCCTGCAGCCTCTGTGTGGACCCCGGGTTCCTTCCCTGACAGCTCCTTTTCTGCACTGGGGTCTGCCCACAGGTCCCTCCCCACACTCCGGGAGCTGCAAACACAGACACATGTTCTGTGCGCTATTCAGTCTGGGCTTGTGGCATCTCCCCGGACCAGGCTGCTTTGCCGCTGGGGGCACCAGAATCGGAGGCGGCAGCAGGGAAGGTGGGGGGTGCGGGGAGCAGGGGAAAGGGAGGCGGGAGGGTGTGTAAGGTGGTGATGTGCAAGAGGAGGGGTGGGACCCTCAGGGAGAGCCCCAGGAGCCCAGTGATTGTGCCACTGTCCCACCTGATGTCATCCTCATTGGCAAAGATGATGATGCCCCGGGCATTGGGTGTCTCCATGAGTCTCCTGATCACCTTGTTGAACTCTCCCGGCTTCGGTTCCCTGGGAATCTTGATAGACTGGGCAATACAGACCCCCCCTGGGTGTTGGGGGTGCCAAAGTCAGCTTCTGTCCCACCCACCCACACACCCACCTGGCCCCTGCTACATAGGACTGTGTAGCCTGACTGAAGGATCTGCAGGGGTGAGATCTGGCCTGCACCCTCCGCCAAGCCTGAGGCAGGGCTGAGTCGTCCAAAAGAAAGAGGCCTGCCCACATGGAGCACCAGCCAGGCAACCTCGACCCACCATGGACCCGGGCCCCCCATCTTTCTGCTTCTGCCCCACCCGAGGGCCCCGGGCCCACACTATGGAGACTCCTTGGTGCCTCAGAGCCCCCAGCTCACCAGCCTCTCGGGAGATCTGAACGAAGGCCTCAACCCCGCTCTCGCCATAGTTGCCCTCAGAGGCCAGCGTGGACACATAGTTCCATCCCAGTGCCCTCACGATGTCCACCATGGCCTGGGCCTGGTAGGAGTCGGGCGGCACCACCCGGGAGAAGAAGTCATAGCGCGTGGAGTCGCTGAGCTCCGGGGCTGTGGAGGCGTAGCTGATCTGCGGTATCTGGAGGGCGGGAAGGACAGCCGGGCTGTGGACGGAGGTCAGTAACTCGAGAGAGGGAGGGCAAGGGGGGCTCAGGAATGGGACAGCCGGGCTGGGGACGGAGGTCAGTAACTCGAGAGAGGGAGGGCAAGGGGGACTCAGGAACGGATGGGGCACAGAAGGTGTGGGGCTGGGACCTGGGACACAGATGGGGCACAGAAGGCTTGGGGTGGGGACCTGGGGCCAGCTGGAGCAGCCACCTGGAAAGGCTAGAAGCTGTGGGCGAGGTCTGCGTTTTGTGAGTGGGCCTGAGAACTCTGTGAATGTTGTGCATGTGGGAGGTATGCAGGACTAGGGGAGAGGGCAGGACCGCCACGTATACTGGCACAAGCTGTGTCCTGAACAAGACCCCCCCAGCAGAGGGCCTGCAGCCCATCCAGCTGCATCTGCCTGTCCCAGTCGGCCCCAGGGGAAAGCACCGTTTCTTGATTCACACCAAGGGATGGTCTGCAGGGGCGGACAGCCCTAGCAGGGATTAGGGCAGACAGGGAAGCACCAGGGGGTGTTTGATTTAAAGCAGTGTCTGGCCTAGAATGGCGTTTGTTGGAAACTGGGTTTCTCTGCATGCATTACAGTGATCAACATCAGAGATCAGAGGCTGAACTGACCGGGGAGTGTGGAGGCGGAGGCACGGGGCTGAGAAGGCCGCCAAGAGGGGGCTCCAGGGCTCCAGGGTAAAGAGGGGCTACAGCAGGAGCTGGTGTGAAGGCCAGAGAGGAGAATTTCTGGAAGGAGGGAGGGGGACTGCTCCAGGGTTGTTTGAAGCAGGATAGAAAGTATAGAGACAGCAGGAAAAGGAACCCGGGAGTGGCAGGCAGAGAGAAAGAGGGAAGGTGCGGGTGGAGGGAAACAAGAAGGAGAGAGAGAGAGAGAGAGAGAGAGAGAGAGAGAGAACTGAGGAGTACAGGAGACGAGAAAGGCCCAGTGGCCACAGCTCTGTGAATAATGCTGTGGTCCTCAAGCCCTCCCGGACACTTGAGTTTGGGAACAACCTTCCCATGCCCCCTGGACCTCCTGAGGGAAGTTAATTTAAAATGCCTGCCAGCTCCGTGATGTGGCTGGGGAATGAACGTATTTCCTTTAGACCAGGAATTGCAGCATCTTGCCTGTGACTGTGTGTTGCACAGTTTTTATTAATGTTTGCATTTCTAGCTGGGCAGCACAACCTCAGTCTGGGCTGAGCTAGCAGCAGCGGGCCCTGGGTTCACAGAGTCCTGCCCGCCTGAATACCCAGCTGGGCCCCTGAAGGCCTTGGGGTCTGGGATCTCTGCATTGGACCTAGAGGACAGAGACAGAAACTAGAGCTCTAGGCAGGGCCGGGAACACACACAGGCGGGTGAAAAACCCCGGGGCGGCCACACAGCCTGTCTGGTGCCAGCGTGGAGGTGACATATCAACACTGCCAATCCGAGGAAACGGGGATGGGCGCTTCCATGTGCGCAGACGATGCGGAGCGGGGCGGCCCCGCATGGCTGGAGCAAACACAGACGCCGCTCCGGGAGAGAGAAGCTCTGGGGAAAGAGAAGTTCCTCCCCTGGGCAGATGGAAGCTAGGCCTTCCTCCTTCACAGAGAGCCAGAGGCACCCAGGCCCCTCCCGCCACAGAACCCCAGAAAAACTGTCCCACAAAACCCCCAAACCTGTACGCCAAAGCCCCCTAATCCCGACTCTGCTGGCCCCTAGGACTGCAAGGAACACGCTGCCCTCACAGGACAGTTCCCTACCTTTGAGGACAGTGCGAGGCCAGCCCGGGCACCTACGCAGGGCAGGGTGCAGGAGACCAGCGCTCAGAAGGGAACGCCCCACCCTGTTCTCAGACGCCCCTTGAGGGAGGGTTCAAGGCAGACGTTTTGAAAATAAACTTAAATGATCGAAAAAGAGAAGGTCCAGACCTTTCGGGCCTGTCCACCCCCAATAGCAGCCCCGGGACACGTCCCAGTTGCTGCTCTGGAAGAAGGGCCCAGGCTCCAAATAAAGCTCCGCAGGCCGAGGGGGCAGGAGCACCTCGTGTGGGTGGAGGGGGTGTGCCCAGAACAAGGGCACTCAAGCAGGCTGGCAAATGGGGACTGAAGTCAGGCCGCCCTCCGCAGCCAACCGGCCAGAGGCGTAGGTGGCACCTGCCCGGGAAGGGGCGCCCTTGCGGGGCCGGGTAGACAAGGGCGGCTGCAGTGGTCGGGTGGATCCGACTCAAGCCTGCGTCGGGCCCCACTGACAGGACTTCTTTGACGCTGTGTGAACTCTAGTGATTAAAACGGAGACTCTTCCAGAAGAAGTAAAGGAGTGAGACTTGGGCCACCCCAGGGCGAGGACGGGAGAGACGCTGGACACCCAGCCCGGCCCCGCGGCCCTCACCGCAAACAGGCGCAGCACGTTGGCGACCATGATGGAGACGGAGCTGGCCGAGGCGCCCACGACGGCCACGACGCGCTCGGGGGGCGCGGTGCGCAGCGGAGGGAGGCCTCCCGGGCAGCGCAAGCCCACCTCGTCGCCGTCGCCGCGGCCGCGGATCAGCGCCTGCACGAAGCTCAGCGCCTGCTCCAGCGCGTAGGTGTCCCGCGAGCAGGTGTCCAGCAGCCGCGCGCCCAGGCGCACGCCGGGCAGCAGCTCGGGGTCGGCGTTCACGCGGTCCAGCGCGTACAGCATGGCCTCCAGCCGGTGCACGCCCTGCTCCTTCTTCAGCGGCCCGCACGCCCGGCCCGCCGCGCCCCGCGCGTGCACCGGGAACAGGCCGCCCAGCGTCAGGCCGCCCGCCAGCCGCACAGAGCCCGCGGCGCGCGCCAGGCCCGCCTGCGCCAACCACGCCAGCGGCAGCAGCGCCACGAGCAGCGGCTCCCGGGCTCTCCCGGGCCGCGCCATCGCCTGGTCTAGCGGGCTGCGGGGAGACAGAGGGGCGGGAACGCTCTGAGGGCTGGGGAGGGAGAGCGCGGGCCCGGGGCGCGGGGAGGGACACGGGGTCCTGGGGAGAAGGCGCTCGGGGCGCGCCTCCCACTTTGGCTCTGGGGAGTTAGCTCAGCCGGCCTGCCCAGGCCTGCGTCTCTCTCTTAAAGGCGCTGAACCGTATCGCCCGGGGTCCCGCCCGACCACTGCCTCCACCCCTCCAGCCCTGCCACTTCCCGACAGCCTGGTCCTTCTTCCTCCGGGTCCATTCCCAGCGCACACCCAGGCTCCCTCCCCAGCCAGTCACCTGCGCCAGCCGCTGTGGGTTCAGGACAAGTCTGTGACAGATGCCGCCGAGGCCCCGAGCGAGAGAGGATTTAAGGATTCTAGGGAGGGATGAGGGGCCGCTCCGAGGGTGGAGACCCCTCCTGAGTGTGGGGGGTGGCGGTGCTGGCTCTCCCCGCGTCTCCTTCCCCTCCCTCTCCTAATCTCTGGCTCTGTTTCCTGTTTTCCTGTCTTTGGTTTGCGTCTGACTCGGACTCTGGCTGTCTCTCTGGGGCTGTGTCTGATGCATAGTCTCTGTCCATCTCTCTCTCTCAGTCTTCTTCTGCTTCTAGGCCTCTGTTCCTCAGTCTCTCCCTGGCTTTCTGCCTCTGTCTTCTTCTTGGAAATCTTGTCTGTCTCCGTGCCTTCCTGTCTCTCCCTGCCGTTATCTCTCTCTGTCCCTGACCCCTTTTCTGTCTCTCTCTCTCTCTCTGTCCTGGCCACCAGTGCTCTTGACTGCAGTTGCCTAAGGTATTCCTCAGCTTTCTCCTTGCAAAACCCTGCAGGGGGCAGGGGCTACCTGAGCTGGGAGGGCCTGAGCAAGAGGAGGAAGAGCAAGGGGCAAGAAGGGACCAGGAGGGAGAAGCCTTTAGTATTAGCGAACTTACAACACCCTCCAGTTGAGAAACAGCCCTCAAGGAGTGAGTTGACTTGCCCAAGGGCAGGCAACTGGCATCAGGATTCACACCCAGAATGGCATGAAACAACCAGGCCACACGGCCTTGGATAGAAGGAGGGGAGAGCCCGGCCCTCCTTGCAGCTCCCACTCCCCCTATTGCATGCGCGGATGGAACCCCGCGGAGTTGTTCTGGCTGCATATAAAGTCTCCTCGGGCTCTGGGTCTGAGGCAGCTACTCGAGCTGTGGTGCACACTGTGCCAACGCTCTCTGTACCTAACTCCCCACCTCATCGTGGAGGCCAAGGTGAGGGGGCTTGGCCAAAAGACGCTTTTATCACCACCCCCATCTGAGGCCCGGGATTTGGCTCTCTGATGCCAAGAGAGCAAAGGGCATCCTGGAGACAGGTGGTGAGCTCCTAGCCACAGGGATTAGCAGGCTCCTCGTACGAGGGCCTGAGCCGGCTTGGGTTCCATTAGGCAGGCTGGATTAGGGTGGCTGGGGGGATTTGGACAAGGCTGGCAGAGGGAGCAAGCAAGAAACGTGCCACCTTTTTCTGTTCCCCCACCTCTCCCAAGCCCCGATAGTTTCTACGGCCAGAACCACGTCTCCTGGTGGAAGCCCAGAGTCAACAGGCTGGGTCTAGCGCTGCTCCTATCCATTTAACAGTGGGAAGGCTGGGGAGCTTAGCTGGTGCCAGGCCCTGAGCCTGACATTGCAAAGGACTGCGTAAACTGGGTTTGGGAGGTGGATGGGCCCTTCCCTGTTCAGAATGAGCCTGACGGCTCCCAGCACTCAGCAGCCTCCTGCTTGGCATGACCAAGGCAGCCACTGCCCCTGCCTGGAGGACAGACCATCAGGAAGCGGGGGCAGCAGCTGGGGGACTGGCAGGGGGTCCTCACCTGTAGGAGGGAGGCACACACACCTGGAGGAGAAGGGGAGGGGGGTGGCAGGATTTTAGGCTGATAGAGATTGGGCTCTTGGAGGCGTGGAGAATGGCATTGCTGCTGGGGCATTCCCTGAGAATATGAGAACCAGAGACAGAGCTGAGCAGGTCAAGGAGGGCAGAAGCCAAGAGTTCGGGTTTGGACGCAGGAAAGCAGAGGCTTCATGATTCATGAGCCTGGAGTTGAGGGAAGAGGCCAGGGTGGGAGAGAAAGCTGAGGCGGGATCACCATGGTGGTGTTTAAAGAGGTGGAACACAGGAGCTCACTGGGGCTGAGAGTGTGGACAGACAGTGAGGATGGAGCCCCAAGAACCCCAACATGAGAGTCTGAGCAGATGTAAGGAGACTGGGAGGGGGTGGCCGAGGAGTTAGAGGAGAAGGAGGAGAGTAGGCAGCAGAGGGGCCAGAAACAAGGATGGAGGAAGGAGGGAACATTCACCATAACTTATTCAGCCCCGTGCAGGTCAGAAGGCCAAAGTGCGCCTCGCACAGATGAGAAGAGAGGCAGAGAGGCGGCGCAGCCCCATGGCCATACCGCTCAGACGCCTGTGGCCTAGAAAACCCGTGCAGCCTTCACACCGTGTCTGTGATTCAGCAGCAGGTGCTGCCGTTGACAAGCACACAGGAAACTAAAATCCCAGCTGCTGCCTTCATCTTGTGTCCACACTTCTAACCCCAGAGCCGGGCCATTCAGTAGAGCCTCCAGACTAGCCCCCACATCTAACAACCAGACCATTCTAACTGCAAAATTAATTTAAAGCTCTACGTTCCTGGGGTTCGTTTAATGGTTGGACTCAAAGCTTCCGATGCCAGGACTGGGATGTTAGACATATTCCACCCTCTCCTTTGTTGGGAACATGTTTTGTGGGTGAACCGGTACATCTAGCATGGACTCTGGCACAGGGATGTTGAAAAGCTTGGGGTCTGTACCTGGGAAGGCCACCTGATCCCTTCCGGAATGTCCTGTGTGGAGCAACGTGGGGTGTGTGTGGGAGGTAAGCCTCCCAATGCACTCAGCCCTCCCAGCCTGCGCTCCCATGCACCCTCACACCCCCAAGGGGAGCCATGAGCTCCTCCAGGCAGCAGGGCATGCGTGTGGGCCCCGGCCGTCACCAAGACCCAGGGTCACCTCCCTGCAGGCTTCTCCGTTGGCCCCTGGCCTCCTCACTGCGCTCTCCAGCGCTCAGCTGCCACATGATCCACTGCACTGCGACCAGCTTTTCCAGCCACAAACACCAGCGGTGCTGCTGCCTCCGCATGGACTGGTGCTGCTGGTGGACCCATCAGCCAAGAAGGAAGCAGGCCAGGCGCAGTGGCTCCTGCCTGTACTCCCAGCACTGTGGGAGGTTCAGGTGGGAGGATCGCTTGAGCCCAGGAGTTTGAGACCAGCCTGAGCAAGATAGCAAGATCCCGTCTCTACAAAAAAATACAAAAATTAACCAGGCATGGTGGTGCACGCCTGTGGTTCTAGCTACTCAGGAGGCTGAGGTGGGAGGATCCCCTGAGCCCAGGAGGTCAAGGATGCAGTGAGTTAGGATTGTACCACTGCACTCCAGCCTGGGCAACAGAGTGAGACCCTGTCCCTGCCCCCGCCCCCCACCAAAAAAAAAAAAAAAAAAAACCTGTCCCTGCCACACTAAAAAAAAAAAAAAAAAAAAAAAAAAAGCAGCCTGGGCTAGAACTTCAAGGATGAAGAAAGGGAACAGGACGTTGCCAGACCTCCTCAGAGCTGTACCAGGACAAGCAGCCACCTTTCCAGCCTCCCTGGTCAGGGAGTATGCCTGCTGGGGTCACCCACCCACAGGCCATAGGGCCCTCTTACAGCATCCTGATACCGCTGTTCAGGCTCAATGAAGTAGCACAGAATTTTTACAAAGTGTGCAGGACTTCATTTAAAAGGTTGCCCCGAGAAGAAGTCCTGTTGTTCCCTGACCCTGGGACTGTTTTCCTCCGCTGGGCTGCCATGGCAAAGTCCCACAGACAGAGGGTCAAAGAACAGAGATTTTTTCTTTTTATGATGAAAAGCTTTAATAACAGACAATGTGATTTCACAGGCAATCAACCGGCAGATTAACAAATCACTTAACTTTCTTTGTATAAAACCAGTATTCCACCAAGAAAGATGACCCGAAATGGATCCTTTTACAATCACCAACATAACTAAGTACAAATGAAGTCCATGCTGTACCCATTAACATGCTACATGTGTGTCAATAAAACACGCTCTCCCCCACCCCAAGCCCTGGCCTCCCGGCAAACACAGATAAATGATGTGCACTGAGTGATACCGTTAGGTGAGAACTTTGGTCCAAGCAGTCAGCTGCCATAGAGGTTGCACCCAAAACCCACGGCCCTGGCACCCAAAGTCAGTCCGTGGTGGTGGCTCGTGGTGTCAGCTGTGTTCCTTCCACACCGGGTGAATACTGTGGTCAGGAATACTGGTGGCAAAGACCCAGCCCACGTCATTGTGCCCATCCGGTCCGTTCAGCCAGGACGCATCACCTGCCAGGAAGCTTGAGCCTGTCTTTGATTTCTTGTACCCTGGAAGAGGCCAGTGACTGATCAGGCTCTGTGTCTGCAAGTCCGTGATGTACAGGTGGCAGCCGTCAAACAGTAGGACAACAATATTTCCAAAGTCAAGCAGGGCCACGTTTGCTATCTCAGGAGTCGTGATGACCCTGAGAATATTGTCACTGTTGGCAGAGTCCCGCTGGCAGAGGCCGAGTGCTGAACTACAGACAGTGTATTTGCCATCACCATGAAGTCTTGTCTGCAGGCGGATACTTCTGTCCTCGGAGACAAGACAATGGCTTTAAGGCTTACAGCTGATTTCTCTCCCATTTGGCCAAATCTAATCTCATATTTGCCTGCACGTAAGAGGATGTGGTCTTCAGGGTCGTGCAAGAGACTTGACTTTGCACTTCTGCAGAACTACCTTGGTGACCCATGCCGTGTGCCCAGTGGGTGTGCTCAGGCAGGCCCCGGTGGATAGAGTCCATCCTCTCACAGTGAACACTGCAGAGCCACTCACCAAGATATCACTATAGTCCACACTAAACACTGCCTGCGTGTGCCCGTGAAAGTGCTGGGTC